AAACTATTTTTAGAACAAGCACCTGAACCAAATGATGTAGATTGGGAATTTATTCATATTACTACTAGTGAAAAGATATTTAAAAGAGTGAGAGCTTGGGTATATTACATTTTATTTGAGAGTGCTGCTTTTTTTATTATTTATTTAATTTCTCATAGATTAGCATTATTAGGTGATGAAGCTCATGAAGAAGAATTGAAAGGAAAATTAGATGAAGAAACTAAAAGAAAAATAAATATAATGTCATTTAGTATATCTATGACAATAGTATTATTTAATAAATTTGGAGTTGCTAAAATTGTTCATTATATTGTTGATGATGAAAAAATATCAAATAAAACAAAATTTTAAATATCTTTTGTTTATAAATATGCTTTAGCATTGTTTTTAAATGCAGCTATTATAAGTTTTTTGGTGGACATTGTTATATTAAAAAATGTTAAAGGAGCAGGTGGTTTCATCTAAAATGAAAGTTAAATCTTTGTGCTTAATGCAATTTTCCCTCCATTTATTTGGTGTGTTGATCCATGGAGTTTATGTAAGAACATTTGGAGAAAATACATCATGTCAAAAGGAGACAAAGCATTATTAACTTAATAAGAGGCTAATAAATTAATGGAAGAACCAGACTATCTTTCTGCAAAACGTTATTCAGATGTTATGAAAACTATGTGGTTTACATTTATGTATGGTACTGCAATACCATTAGGCACATTATTTAGTGCCTTTGGAATTCTAATATACTATTTCGTAGACTATTATAATATATTAAGAAGGAGAACTGTTAAAGAATCTATAAGTATACAGCTCTCAACAGGTACACATGATGATTGATTTTAGAAATGATTGAAATGTTAGAATATATTATTGCATGGTGTGCTTTTGGTGAAATGATAATGACTTATACTTTTTTTAAAGAGGTTAGCAAAATCGATATTCTACTTATTGTAATGGCAATATTATATTAATAATTACCTATGGAAGATATATCTGAATATCTCTTCCCTGTTGAAAATAATGAAGAAGTATAATTTTACTTATTTAGATAAAACCTTATGCTGAAGGGAGTGCAAGTTTTGATACTGATTATGATAGAGAGAATCCTGTTACTAAACATAAGGCTTTAGCAGAATGGAATAATAGATAATAAAGTGCTGAAAATCCAAATCCAAAGAACAAAAAGATTTTAGCTTAATAAGATGAATTTGGATATGCTGGAGATGGCCATTTTGGTCGTAGATGATTAATATTAGAAATATAAAAATATATTTTTAATTAATTAAACATTTTTAATATGAGTGAATTTAAACAAATGGAGATTGAAGTATTGTTTGAATATTTCATAGTCGTACATTTTAAATTTTAAAGCGAGACACACTGAAATAATAAAACAAAAACTGTTAAAGTTACATGAAGAAGAATCTGCAGATTAATTCTAACCATTTTATTAAACTTTCCTTAAAAACTGTAGAGATTATTTGCATCAAAAATTAGTAATAATATTTATTAATCTATAGAAATTGACTTGTAAAAGAGTACTAGATGAAGATTTATTAGAACTTTTAAAAGTAAATATTTATTTGGCTGAATTATCTTATACAATATGTAAGGAAGTACCTGAACTTAAACCATATCCTCTTAGTACAATCTATAAATAATTTAAGCTTTTAGTGAAGATATTTATGAATGTTTGTCTCTTTCAGAACTTTATGATTACTTTAATAATTTATATAGTTAGATATCCACAATATCAAAATTCTAAGATGAAAACAAATATGTTTTATTAAGAATTTGTAATTCAATGCTCAAAAGACTTTCAACAACACATGACACTTTTTTAAGAGGATAAGTTTAAATATTCTTGACTCAAATATTCTCAACAATTCATCCATCATTAAGGAAGAAACCAATAAATATAAGAGATAGAGGATTTGATGAAGAATCAGTCAAAGTAAATGCTTCATTCCCATATTCTTTTTATAAAAATTTTTGGACTTTACAAAAATACCTTAATAATTCTGAATTAATATTTAGAAATAAGGTAGAATTTGATGAGATAGGGGAAGAAGCTGGATAAGTTATATAAGGAGTATCTGAACCTTAAAGAACAAAAAATCTTTAGGCAGTGATAAAAGTTATAATGAGAGCTTTGTAATATTTTAAAGAGAATCCTTTAGAACCTTAAATAATAACAGTGAAAAGGTTTCCTAAATTTCTTACAAAATATTCTCTATTCAAAAATTAATTAAATGATCCTTATTTTAGAAAATTATTCTTAAATTAAGTTTTATTGTTTATTTTTGTAGCTGAACTTGAGAATCATGAAGTATTGAAATCCTGTTAATATTTTAGAAATAATACATATAGAATTTGAAAATTGAAGTACAAAAATAATTAGATGAATTAGGAGATAAATTAGGAGAGAAAGTTTAACATTTAATTGACACAGAACGAACTTGGGTATTCTATTGTAATATCTCAGCGACTATGGGTGACAGAAAAACAATGTTTTGATGATGGATATGAAAAACTTAGTATTAAAGCATCCGAGAAAGCCAAAAAAAAAAGATTAGAAATACAAAAAAGAATCTATGATGATCTTAAATATAAATAGACAGATGCATTTTAATCAATTTTATAAGATTAAGGAAGACCATATAAAATAGAAACTAATCCTATTGAACCTGGATTAAATTATTATTTAAATGAAGTTTTTTATTAATTAGATCAGAGTCGTAAAATTTAAGACAATGAAAGATGTAAGAATTTAAAAGATTATGCATGGAAATCAGTTAGAGTCATATCTAAATATTTATTAAAAGAATTAAAAATTACTAATTTAATAACATAAGATTTAAAGCCATTACCTAATTTAGAAGATATTGTAGAAAATTTGAAAAATGCTGGAAATGAAATGACAGCTGAAAGATTATAATAATCTAATAATAATAATAATAATAATAATAATAATAATAATAATAATAATAATAATAATAATAATAATTCTGTTACAATCAAACCTGTTCACATAAGTTAATAATTACCAAACTAGAAGTGAATTATAATTTTAAACATATATATATAAATTAATTTATTATTTTAATACTCAAATAAATGGAATAAGCTTTGTAAAAAGATTAATATTTTCCCGGAAATATTATTGATCTCACTGTTTCTCAACAAGAACAAGAAGAGAACTCAGAATACAACAAACCGCTTGATGGACTTACTGAAAGGAATTTAAGGAAACGTAAAAATTGTCCTTTAAATTTATCTCTTAATCAATAATTACTTTAAGATCCTATTTATAAAAGCTGTATTTAAAATGAATTCCTCTTTATTAAACATCTTGAATCATTAGGATTCACCGACATTTATGATTATTTGAAATATTGCAATAAACATGGACTTCTCCTTGAAGATGAAGCATTCAAAAGTATCTTAAATACAAATTGAATTATAGAAAATAATCTTAAGCCTCCGTAATAGAAATATAACATATATTAATCCAAAATAATTCATGAAAAAAATCTAGATTTTAGAAATTTATAACAAATTTTAAGTGGAATGAAATAATTAAAAAAGACAATGAAACTTGAATAAAAGTATAAAAAGGATTTAAATATTGAATTTTATACAACTAATGATATAAAAAGTAATGTCGTAATACATTAAACTAAAGAACATCGATATATTGCACCAAATTTTATTAATAAAATGCTCTATGAAGTAGAACCATTAGATTAGGAAATAGATGAAACATTAATTCACTATTGCTGGAAATAGTATAGAAAGTTTTATAATAAATGTCTAGCTGAATATGATGCTATGTTAAATGAGAATGAATATGAAAGTGAATTTAGTGATACTGATTAATTTGATTATGATTAAATGTCACATGATTCTTTGGCTCCTTACTTTAAAGTACCTCCTTGTAAAAGGAAACCTCAATATAGATCAATGAATTTGTCTTACTAAATATAAAATTTGAAAATTTTATAGTTGTCTGTTATTTGATTTAAATTTTAATCTAATAATCATAATAATTATTATTATTTATTTATAATAAATATTATTAAGAGAAACTATGCTCTTTCTATTTATTTGTATGTTTTATACTTAATTATTAGGATATTATGAAGCAATATCATTTCCAATTATTAATTTGACAAAAGTTTATGATTCAACATAATAAAGTCTTCAATTATTAGCAAATATTTAGAGTCTTATTTTGAAATATTTGTATTTTATAAAAGGTGAATTTTCAATACTTCTATAAAGGTAGTAATTTATCATTTATATCATAGGATTTACAAATTTGCATTATTTTCAAACATTATTACATTTTAATGATTTTCTAAATATGATTGCCATATCGAATAAACATAAATTGAATCATCTTGTTACACATTCATATTCAATTTATTAGTTAAGACAATGAATGTGGAATGAAATGAAATGAAATAAATTTTCAATCATCAAAATATTTGATTTCTAATATATTCAGATTCCTGTCTCAAATAAATATTAAAAATATAAAATATGATTCTTTTAGATAAGTTTAGTAGGATTGATATCAAATATTTATAAAATTGATTATGATAATTTGATATATATATGTGTTTCTGAAATTAGATTGTTCTATAATTGATACAAATTATAATTATCAAATATTTAATAAAATGAATAAGGTTATCTACTTTTAATTAGAGTATTAATTAAAATTAAATAATTTACATTATTTATTAAATTATTTTGAAATTAAAAATATAATATTTTGAAATATATTTGCTTGCTCTGAATATATGATTTAACTTTTTAATAGAAAATGATAACTCAAATTAGAAACAAGGATATTCTTTAATTTCTTCCAGTATTTTAGAATTTTTTTGATTAAATATTAATGTTATATTGTAATTAATAATAATCTGAAAAATGAACACCATTTATTTTAATGTTTTAAATCCAATTTTTTAATCATTTTATAATATAGATATTTTATGGGATTATGCAATGGAAAGACTAACTCTTCTAAAATGAATAAATCATAAAGTTAAAGTGATGTATATAAACAACAACTAATCTAGAAAATTTAAAATGCAGATCCTTAGCAATAAACAACTTCTGATTCTCAATTTCAAAGAAATAAGAGATATGGACATTTATTATAACCAAATAGTGCCTAACATAAATTGACTATGATTTTAGAAAGTTATTAAATGTAAAAAGAAAAGCTTATATCATCTCCTATAAGCATTAGATCACATTAAACTTTACTAATAAGTAAACGAAATGCTGAATTGAATAAATTATTGGATAATGATTTCATACCATAAGAAGAAATGAATCAAGCAGAAAAATGTTTTTATAAATATTTTGTTAATAAATTTACTGGAAGAATTTATTATACAAATAATTCAGACTAAGGTGAAGAAAACAATCACTACAGTAATATTAAAATAAATAGAGCTGCACTTGTAATTTTTGTTTTAAGCTTAGTGTCATCCACATATTATTGAGATTTTAGAAATAGAAAATGAAGAATCATAATAAAAGGATAAATTATTCTTTGAATATTGTTCTTAAGAAAGTTTATAAGATTTTATAGACAAAAATTAAGATTTTAATTTGGAATAAATTTAAATTATTGCTTCTTAAATTATTTCTGTTGTTGGTCATTTACATTCCTAAAAATTATATCATAATAATTTAGATATGCAATCATTTCATTTTTTTGTANTATATGTGTTTCTGAAATTAGATTGTTCTATAATTGATACAAATTATAATTATCAAATATTTAATAAAATGAATAAGGTTATCTACTTTTAATTAGAGTATTAATTAAAATTAAATAATTTACATTATTTATTAAATTATTTTGAAATTAAAAATATAATATTTTGAAATATATTTGCTTGCTCTGAATATATGATTTAACTTTTTAATAGAAAATGATAACTCAAATTAGAAACAAGGATATTCTTTAATTTCTTCCAGTATTTTAGAATTTTTTTGATTAAATATTAATGTTATATTGTAATTAATAATAATCTGAAAAATGAACACCATTTATTTTAATGTTTTAAATCCAATTTTTTAATCATTTTATAATATAGATATTTTATGGGATTATGCAATGGAAAGACTAACTCTTCTAAAATGAATAAATCATAAAGTTAAAGTGATGTATATAAACAACAACTAATCTAGAAAATTTAAAATGCAGATCCTTAGCAATAAACAACTTCTGATTCTCAATTTCAAAGAAATAAGAGATATGGACATTTATTATAACCAAATAGTGCCTAACATAAATTGACTATGATTTTAGAAAGTTATTAAATGTAAAAAGAAAAGCTTATATCATCTCCTATAAGCATTAGATCACATTAAACTTTACTAATAAGTAAACGAAATGCTGAATTGAATAAATTATTGGATAATGATTTCATACCATAAGAAGAAATGAATCAAGCAGAAAAATGTTTTTATAAATATTTTGTTAATAAATTTACTGGAAGAATTTATTATACAAATAATTCAGACTAAGGTGAAGAAAACAATCACTACAGTAATATTAAAATAAATAGAGCTGCACTTGTAATTTTTGTTTTAAGCTTAGTGTCATCCACATATTATTGAGATTTTAGAAATAGAAAATGAAGAATCATAATAAAAGGATAAATTATTCTTTGAATATTGTTCTTAAGAAAGTTTATAAGATTTTATAGACAAAAATTAAGATTTTAATTTGGAATAAATTTAAATTATTGCTTCTTAAATTATTTCTGTTGTTGGTCATTTACATTCCTAAAAATTATATCATAATAATTTAGATATGCAATCATTTCATTTTTTTGTAAATTCAAAATATCATTATCTGAAATTAACAAATATAAATGGAATATTTAAATAAAAGAAAAGAGAAAATAGTAGTACAACTTTTGATTTATAAGATAGAAATAAATCATCAGAATAAGATGTTTGGTAAGTAGGTTTGATAATTTATTTAATGATTGCAAAATTTAATGCTACTAAAATAAATAATTATTAAGATTTAGACAATGAATAATGGTTGGAAACAATTAAATAAAATTTAAGACTTCCTTAAAATATAATGGGAATTAATTTAAGATCATTATTATTAGCAATGTTGTAATTGATACCTTAATAAAGAATTAAATTTAATTAAGTAAAAGAAAATAAATTAGTTTAATTGGGAAATTAAGAATTTCTTAAATTGCATAGAATAAAATTAATACCACAAAATCTGCATAAAAAAATTAATTATTTATAAAAATGCTTTACATTTTATCTAATTTAATCTATGGCTCCACATTAATATTTAATAATGAAGAAACTTTATGATATTTTAGATAAAAATGAAGAAAATAATTTAAATCTTATTAATTTATGCAAATTATTGTAAGATTTATTTTAAGATTAAAATGCATTATCTGATTATTAATAGATGATTGAATCTAATTAATAAATTACTTTTCAAGATTTTTTAGTGATCAATAGCAATTTAAACAAAGTTATTACTCTAGATAATCTTAGAAAGGGATTTCAGATATTATCAAATAAAAGTTAATATATAAGTAAAAAAAGTATAGTTAGACTTATGTAAACAGATTAGTAATCATTAAATAAGGAATTCGAAAAGCATTGTTTAAAATGGAGAGTATTTATGATATAATATTATTAGTTTACTTATGATCATTTTATTAATTTTATGGAAAAAATTAAATGAAAAACTGTTGACAATGAATATATAATACTTAATTGTATAACTTCAAATTTATTTACAAATATATATTAGTATAAATAAAATTAAATCATTCTGTGCTTTTTTCAGCCAGATGGGCAAAACTAGTTGTTAATCCAGTACTTAGAAAATATGGAGGTTCTTCACAATTTGTAGAGTTTAAAAATTCAAGAAATGTTTTTCTATTTTTCTCTGCTAAATTAGGTACTTTCATTTCATCTAATATATTATCCAATTCTAATTTAAAAATGTTAATCTAAAGTAAATATTCGATTGATTTTACAGTTGTATAATCATTACTAAGAAAATTAATTTATTTTAAATTTGTTTAAGGATTTAAACTTAAATGATTTATGATACATCTGATCAAACATTCTGCATTGTATTATTTTGGAATAGTAAAATTTAAAGCATTTTATTCAGTAAAAGTGATTTCAGACATAATATTTTGTTCAGCAATTTACAAACTAAACTTCAATTATATAGATACCATTTTTCATAAGTTGAATATACTTTTTATAAATCTTTAATTTCAGAATACATCGGTAATTTAGCATGAAGTAGAAAATGATTCTATCTTTCTGTTATTATAACATCACCTACATGCACTAGATATAAGAAAAGAATATACTTGCTCTGATTTCATCCTTTTATTTCTTCTTAATATTCTGATCTCTATATATTATTTTAAATAAAATACTGTTTAACGATTAAAGAATCTGCAGGTTCATATGAACAATTCACTATGATAAACAAAAGTAATACCTATATTTAATCCACTAACAAATATATCTCCCTACAATATTGAACATGTAGTTTAATTGAACTGTCTTGTTGTTGTTATATTAGATTCTCTTTAAGTTATGGATGATTTTTATTTTTTGGTACAGGAGCTTAAAGCATCTTAATAAATATAAAATAAAAAGTACCATTTCCCATTATAAATATATTAATAATTATTATTACATATGCAATTTAATCATCATTTAGTACTTTATATTTAAAATAAAGAATGAACAATTTTGTTATATTTCTGAGCATCCTTTCCATATGTCTTTGTCTCCAAGTCTAAGTCTAAGTTGATGAAGCAGATTTAGTTGATAAGAATGAATTGAATAGATTGTTTAAGATAAATTACGATGGATAAGTGTAAGATTTTATATTAATATTTTAGGTATTCAGGTTATCTTAAAGCAAATAATGAAGGAACAGCTTAGTTTCATTATATGTTTTATCCAGCTCCTGTAGATTCATTAAAGAAACCTGTAATTCTTTGGTTGAATGGTGGTCCAGGATGTTCTTCATTATAAGGTGCATTTAATGAGAATGGTCCTTTTGTATTTAAAGCAGGTACTGCTGAATTTGAAATGAATTAGTATTCTTGGACAAATTTTGTAATAATTCATTATCTTATAATTAAGGCTAATATGCTCTATATTGAATCTCCAATTACAGTTGGATTTTCATATGGTCCTTAAGGTGACTAATCAGATGAATCTACAGCAAAATATAATATCAATGCATTGATTGATTTTTTTAGTCGATTTACAGAATATAAAAAATTGCCATTTTTCATTTCAGGAGAAAGTTATGCTGGAATATATATTCCAACTTTAGCTAATGAAATCATTGATTATAATGTTGGAAAGCCAACTGATAGTCTTATTAATTTATAAGGATTGGCAATAGGTAATGGTTGTACAGATCCTACTGAATGCACTGATTAAGCTGATCCATTCTAAATTCATGTTTATAAATTTTATGGAAGACACAATTTTATTAGTGAGGAATTATATGAGAAAATATTGGCAGTCTAAAATGAATGTTATGGAGTTAAAGATGGAAAATGTAAAGAATTAGCTGACAAAGTTGAAGTTGAAGTTAGTGGAACAAAGGCAGCTCATATTAAATTCAATCCTTATAATATTTATGGTTATTGCTTCACTTACACTCCAGAAGGTAGTAAGATGAGTTAGAAATTTAGTGGTATGAGATCACTAAATGATGAATCTGATGTTCCTCCTTGTGCTGATGTTTAAGGATTATATCACTATTTAAAATCTGCTGAAATCAGAACTGTAATAATTAGATTATAATTTATAGCTTCTTAAAATCAGATAAGAATCTGCTGAATGGTCTATTTGTTCAAGAACTTTGGGTAATTATTAGGTAAATCCTAAGGGATCTTACTATTTATATTAAAAGATCATAAAAAATTAAATAAGAATTTTGAAATTTAGTGGTGATGTTGATGCTGTTGTTCCATTAACAGGAACTATGTTTTGGATAGATAAATTGTAGAAAGAATTATGTATTATATTATTATAATTTGAAGATTTGGCTACATTGAAACCTTGGAGACCTTGGTTTATTCATGCATAGAGAGAGGTTGATCCTGATTAAAATGCTGGTTATGTAATGGATTTGGATGGTCTTACATTATTGACAATAAGGAATGCAGGACATATGGTACCATTGGATAAAAGAGAGGAATCAGAAATATTTATGTAGAAATTTATAAAAGGTGAATTATTCCCTTGAGTATATAAAAATTATTAAGTTTTTTAAAGAGTTTGTAATTCTATAATAATAATAATATTTAATAATAATTAATCAATAGTAATAAAATATAAATTATTGATAATTATTCATCAATTACAAACAATTAGCATCTTTATTTATTGGATTAATAGAAGAAAATAAATATCAATGAATAAGTTTAAAAATTTGAATTATAAGGTATTAATTCTTTTTTATTTGTTGTTTATTCAGTTTCTATACTATTATTTTTCTCATTTGATAATATAAGATCAAAATATATGATTATTTTTCATTTATTGAAGGAATGGTCCTATTAAATTTGGATACATTTTAAATGTTTTCATTTTATTTTTTTAGGTGATTAGTTTTTGATTCAATAATATGCTCTACTATATATCTTACTGTATTAAGAAGTCTTGCTATTTTATAGTGGATAGAATCTTTTATTCCAAATTCATTAATATTCAAATTGATGTAATGCTTAAGAAAGCACTTATTGTTTGATAAAAGCTATTTTATCTATATTAACCAAGATAGTATAGATATCGGGGAGGTAATATATTGGTTAATAGTTAAGTCTTTTTAAAAAATCAAGTATGTGATCCCAATGAATTTACAAACAATAATCGATTGGAAAGTAAATTAAGAAAATCAAAATTTGGAGGCATTTGCTATATGTTGGAATGGAAAATGGAGATACTTTTATGCTGATTAGGATGTCTTATTAAGAGTAAAAGAACATATGGATAGAAAAGTAGTATATAAAAGTTTGGATCCTTTCTTTACAATTATGGAAAAAATAGAAGCTAACTAAAAAAGTTCTGTATATAAATATATTTATTAATAAGATTCTATTAGTCTAGAGAAATGAAAATGAATAAATTTTTGCTTGTAAAGAGATGAAAAAACTGAAACAATATTCCTAATTAGTATAATGTATTATTATTGTAGTTATTTCAAAATGAAGTTGAAGCATTGAAATAACTGTCCCATAAAAATATAGTAAAGCTAATAGAAGTTTATGAAACTGATGATCAATATTAAATAGTGATGTAATATCTAAAAGGTGGTTCACTAAATTAATGTCTTAAATATTGTAAATTGAATAATCGTGAATTAGATGTCATAATACAAGTATATTATTCATTTTTAAGATCATTAGTAAATTATGGAAGGAATAAATTACATGCACAATAATGGATTTGTACATAGAGACATGAAACCAGATAATATAGTATTTAATGATTTGGGTTAATTTTCACAATTAAAAATAATTGACTTTGGAATTACTAAAAAGATTGAAGATTTAGATAAAGATAAAGATATGAAATTTGGAACTCCTGGATATATGGCACCAGAAATTTTTGATTATAAATAATAAATAACTGAGAAAGTAGATATCTTTGCTTGTGGAGCTATACTCTACTAAATGTAAATATCATTTATAAATTTTAGGTTAACTGGGCAAAAATTAATTGCAGGTAATAGTTCAAAATAAATTATGGAAAATAACAAAAATTTCATTTTGAATACATAAATACTTTCTAAAATAAAGCAATCTGATTATAGAATACTAGTCTAATATATGTTAGAAAAAGATCCATAAAAACGAATTAGTGCAAGTCAAGTTATAAATTATTTAAATTTGATGAAAATTACTTCCAATTCTGGATCATAATCAATTTAAATGCTAACTCATCATGAACCTGTATAAAAATTACCTAATTTCAAAAAATTGATTGATAAATAATGATAATATATTATAATTATAATCTTAAATAAAACCTTAAAAAAATAATAGATTTATGTTTTTATATATTAAAAATAATCATAATTATTTAAGATATTTAAGAAAAATTATATATGAAAATTATTGCTTCTAGATATATATATATATATATTAATTTAACATTATATTATGAATTAATATTAAATATTATTATATGATGATTATTGTACTAAAATAACATTTTCATGATCTATAGAGGTTAGGTCTTTTGGCTTTGAATACTGTTCTAAACTTTTTATGACTAGCTCTTGGAACTGTTTTGACAATTGGGAATTTGATTGAGTCACCCTAATACTAAATTTTATATATATACTCTGTATTAATTAGTCTTTCCTCTCTTGATATCAGCACTCTTTGTTAATACTGATGTTCTGAGAATATGAATTGTTTATGGTTAAGCTCTATGATTTCCAGCCATTTCTTGATCTAAAATATTCTTTAACTCATATTATTACATAATTAAGAGACTGCTCCATTTAAGGTTGTGTCTCTAAATTCTTTGTACATATTATGAATAGTTGTTCTTGATTAATATTTAAGAACAATTCCATATGTTTTAACATTTGTGTCTCTTCTTTCAAATAATTCTTATACTGCTAAGATCTATCCATGTGATGGTTTGAGTTTATTAAGTCTTCTTAAATTCCACCTAACCATTAACTCATGCTATACCAGAATCTGCTTTTAGCAGCGACTGTGTTTCTTGCAAAGATTCTCATACTAATCACTTTTGGATTTGGGTCTTCCTTTGATGGAAGTCTTCTTCCGGAAACCAAATATTATCTAATCTAAACCAATAGCACTTTTATCAATTACTTTCATTTAGAGTGAATTATCTTATGGGTCTTGTGCTGAGTTTTTAACCATTTTTTTTATATTTTAAAAAAAGATTTAATTTCTCACCCAATTTCATAAACAATAGAATACAAAACTTTTATTATACTATATACATATATACTAAATATCCTATAAATTGATTAGTCTTATTACTCTAATACCATTACAATATTTAATTTAATCATTTCATATTTTGAGTTTAATATTCATACATAAAAATAAAATTCATTGATTTAAATAAAAAAATTATAAATCTTCTATTATTTCTATAATTTACATATAAAATAAGTATTTATTGAAACTCTTATTTAATATTTCATTTAATTCCTTATTCTTCTATCTTTTTTACAATTTAAACCTTGATTATTAAAGTATATAATTAAATATAGAAATCTATAATTGTGATTAGTAAAAATGATTTAAAAATATTGATATAAATATTATTATTATTTTTATAGAATGGATAATTAATACTTAGAAGAAATTAATATAGAAGATATTCGTAAATAATTTAATGAATAGTCTTTTCTTGGAAAATTTATCATTTAGGATATTGATGATAAAACACAAATTATACCTTATGTTTGCATTGTTTACAATAATAAATATCCTGGATTCTATTTTGAATCAATATTCAATCATTTTATCAGATAATCAAATAAAGTTAAATCTTCATTATGGTTATCATATAATGATTAACCAATTTAATGGCATCTTCCATTTTTTGTTCAAATAGATAAAATTAATGAAGAAGTAGAAATTATTGTTCATTTTAAAAAAAGACCAGAAAATGTATTACCTATATCAGAGAACATTTAAATTGATATCAAGAATAGATATTTTTGGAATCTTAAATAGGCATGCATGATTAGGTATGGTCATAAATGGGAAAAATAAATCTTCTAAACTATCACTATAGAATAATAATATAAAATGTTTTAAAGTTATTCTGATCATAATTACAAACCTCAATTTTATGAATTCTTTGACAAAATTTGGGATTTAACTAATCTAAAAAAAGAATAATAAATAAGTATTCCAATAAGGATCTTTATAGATGGAAATATGATTTAAAGATCCCATGTCTTAAAAGATGTCAAAGAAACTATTTAGAATATTCTATTACCAATCTTTGAGGATGTATATTATCATATATTATTTAAGACTTTAAATTATAATGAATTAAATATCAATGTATTAGGTTTAGTAGTAAATATAGATTTCCCTGTAAGATTATTGGTGTCAACTTTTGTTAATCCAGATGGATTTTGTTATATTATCATAAAATGATGTTTATATATATTAGTAATTTAAAATTGTTACATTTAAATATATATATTTTATATTGAAGTTTATCTCATAAATATTAATTAAAACTAAACTTAAAATATTAAAACAATAATAGATATTCTAAATAAAAAAGAATTAATTTAGATATTAAATGATATTATTATTAGATTAATGAAAATATAATATTATAAATTAGAGATAATCATTTATAGACTCAAAATAAGGATGAATAATTCAATTCTTTTTAAGCTAATGTCATTAAAAACTTAAGATTTGGATTATATTTTATTTCTTATACATTAGGAATGATTTTGTTTTATTTTAAAGGAGTAGTGGATCTCTATCTTATTTAATTATCATCTTTAATTTTTTTAGTGGAATATTTAGAATTAACATGATCAGGAGTTAAGGATTTAGATTATTTAGAATTATAAGTTTCCTTTGATATTTATTTTTGATTGGTACTATTAATTATAATTGAATCTCTTTATTATTTGACTGTTTATTACTTTATAAAATAGTTATGATTTTTTAATTATTATTTTTAAACCTAATTATTTATTAGAACTGAATTCTTATTTAATTTGGGTGTAAATGGTGTTTTTTTTAATTCATCCATTAATAATTTTTATTCATTCATCTATTTATTTAGATTTGACTTTTAAAATCTTTCTAATACATCATTATCTCTATTTTATTTTTTGATAATCTTTTCAGATAATGAATTTAGATTAGGTTTAAATGTAACTCCTTCTAATTCCTTTTCTATTTTTTCTTATTATTAATTTTATATATTTTATGTTCTCTTTTCTTTCCAATAATCCATTTTTTATATAAAATTATCTACTGATTTTGATTCACTTTATTTTATTTTAATACTCATCATTTCTTCTAATATTTTCTATTTTTCATTTTCTTTAATTTTTTCTTATTTTTCAATTTGTCTGATTTTAGATCTTTCATATAATGATTAATATTCACCATTTTGAATTTTTTATTTTAGAATTGATTAACTCTTTTCATTTACTTTAATAGGTGAATATATTTAATCTTTTCTCTACTCAATAATTTTATTCTAAGTTCTATGAATGACTTTAAAATACTATTTACTGCTTATATTTATCATTCATTCTTTCAACAAAATGATTAATCTATTCAGATGTCATTTTAGTTTAAGATGTATAATTAGGTTATGATGTAACTATAATTGATGCATCTTCTGAATTATTAAGGATAGGTTTTTTAAACTTTTATTTTTCTATTTTTGGAGGTTCATCCTTTAATAAAGCATTCAATCTCAAAAGTGCCTAATCAATTTATTGTTAACTTATGTCATTCTAGAAAAATGAATTGTTATTATACATTATTTAACGATAAAATATTATATAGATTTATTCATTCTAAATACTACAAAATGTTTTTCCAAACCTAGGGTTTTAATTCAAAGAAATTCTTAATCATTTTCAATACTTTAAATTCTGGCTTCTTAAGTAGTAAGGATACATAAAATTAAGCAACTTATGCTGAAATATCTTTAATATTTGTAAAATAAATTATAATTTATTTTTAATCCTATTCCTTCTAATTAATTTTTAATTAAAAATCACTTTTTTCTTAGTTATATTTATTAAATCTTGATTCTTTCATATTAATTCCTCTATAGTAATTCTTTTATTGAGAGTACTCTAAACCATCAATAAAGATGTTACTATCATTTTTTAGATATACAATAATTTGATTTTGATTGGGATAAATAACTGCTCCAAATGCAATATTTTCTTTATTTTTCAAAATAACATTTTATGATTATGTTTCAAATAGTAATTTTTCAAGATTTTAATCAAACTCTATAATTTGTATTAAATTAAAATCAAAATTATTTTTCTATTATAATTGCTAAATAAATTTTAAAGAATAAATATCTTTATAATTAGTTGAATAAGGAATAATTTTGGAAATATAATTTTTAATATTCTACTACAAATTATTAAATTATTCTAATTAATTATTAATTTCTTCAAAGACCTATTATTCATAAATTTCAATTATGTTATTCTGTTATTAGTTAAAATCAGATGACTTTTTTTTAGTTTTAATAAGAGCATAAGTCTCTTCAATACTTAATTTAATTGTCTTGATTCTCCAAATTTAAAAATAACTTAGTTTTTAAAATATAGAAGATTTATTTTAATAATGATGAAAGTAATTAATTATGTAGGCATTTTTTTAATCTTTTTTAATTTCAAGAATAATCATTGATTTCTTTATTTATATATAATATACTCCAATTTGAAGTTCACTTATATCTTAATTTTCTTGTATCTATTATACCTTAAATTATTTATCTTCCATATGTTTTACTGCTTTTAAACCATCACCATAATTCTTATAATTAAACTCCTGAGGGTATTAATTAGGTTATATTTCTGTATTTGATATAAAATCTTTATAGGAATTTTTAATTTAATCAGCTATTTTTTCAAATTCATATTTTATTATTTATTAGGCAGTTTTTCTCATATATTCTTCAATATCTTAATATTCTTAAGATGTTAAAACATCATCACTATTATAATATAAATTCTCTATCATTTAATAGTATTCAAAGTTATCTAATTAAAATTACATGTTATTTTGAGAATATTAATTATTTTAACACAAATTTTCAAAAAACCTTTGATTAATCTTCTAAATATAATCAAGAATTTGGTCTTGAAATTCACTTAAAATGTCCTCTTATAATGGTTGATGATATTAATGATTTGGAGTAGGTATTTTATTATAAATTATATAAGTGCAATAATCTTCATGAATCATATATTACATTTTAAAATTACTAAAATATATTTTAATCCATTTATTCTTAGCTGATTTCTTTTTTAGTTTATCATTATCATGAGGCAATAAGCAATATAATTTATTAAGAAAACCATAAATCTTTGAAGAGTATATCAATATTTATTCTTTATATTTATTCATTTCTTCTAATACTTTTTAAATTTAATAAGATCTAAGTTATTAATATTAATAGTATAAACCAATAATAATAACAGAATCCTCATCTAATTCATTATTATTATCCATTCTAATTTTCAATATTTTTATTATTTATTTATTAATAATATAATTATTTTATATAAAGCTATACATACTATCATATTCTATTATAATATAAATAGAAAACAAGTTTTATGGATGTTGGAAATGAAAAATATAAATATATTTATGAATCTTAATTCATCAAAATATCTTTTTCATTTATCAATTTATTTAATAATTGACAAATTTCTATCATCAATTTCCATTTCATTCAATTTTGCTTATTCTTATTATTATAAATCTATTTAAAATGAAAAGGGTTCTTTCATTTCTTATTCTCTAACAGATTCATAAAAGAAAGCATGTCCTCCACAAATTGTTGGATCCAATCCTTATAATTCAATATTATTATGGACTCTTAATAAATTTAGTTTTTCTAAAATTAAACAAGCTACATAATGCCAAGCAGCAGACCTATAAATAATTATAAAACTAATTAATTACCATGCAATAAAGCATACACAACCTAATACTTAGACTCCCCATTAATATGCTCCTTATTCATAATAAATTCCTCTTCTTCTATCAAACCATCCTGGACACATGGCTCCTGCTAAACCACATCCAGCATGAATAGGAATAGCATCTACAGGATCATCTATATGTAATTTATGTAATATTTTAGCCATCAATATATATATTATTCCTCCTATGATTCCAATTACAAATGCTGCCCATTATTCTATTTCATCATTAGATCTATATATTTATAATTTATTATATTACCCTGTTACAGCTACAAGACCTGCCAAATTGCCATTACAAACCATCACTAAACTAAAACGATTATCAGTATTTCGATTAGTAAAATAATGATAAAAGAACACAAATAATCCACCACTTGCTCCACCAACCATAGTATTAACAATTGAATTTCCTACAGTAAACACTGAACCATCAGATAATGCCAAAGTAGAACCAGAATTAAAGCACATCCAAGCCATGTATAAAGTCAAACAAGCTAAACATATAAAAGTAGTATTTGCAGGTTTAAATTATTATTCAAATTCAGGATTAAATCTATTAGTTCTAGGTCTAAGCATATAAGTAACAACAAGTGCTCCAATTCCAGCTGTTAAATGAATAGCACCACTTCCAGCAAAATCATGATAACCCATATCATATAACCAACCTCTAAATGCCCAATGAATACAAATAGGATAAATAAATCCAGAAAATAATGTACTCAGAGCTATATAGCCAGGTATTGACATTCTTTCAGCAGCTCCTCCTGATACAATACTATTAGCTGCAGCTGCTAATGCTGAATTAAATACAAAATCTGCATAAGATTCAGGATGATCTTTGAATCTAAATCCTGCAAATCCACTTATTCCATTAAATTATGTATCATTTGTCTTACCCATCATTAATCCATATCCAACCTAATATATAATATTTTCATACTATCCACATCATAATTATACTTATGGCAGTGTTAGCATAAACTTTTATTATGATGCTTTAAATGTTCCTATATCGTACACACCCTCCCTCTAGAAATGCAAACCCTAACTGCATTATTAAAACAATTGCACTTAATTTAATTGTTTAATGTACCCAGTTAATGTTGTCCAAAAATGATCCAAGTCATGTTCATAATGTTAGATCTCTTGTTTTATATCATAATGAGCCTGGTTGAATTAATCGTTCATCACAATTAATAATAATGCATTCAAGATTACAGAATATCATATATATTTATTTATATATAATTAAAATTATATATATATATAATTTATTATTACATACAATTACTTCTATAAATGTTAATGATGACTATTTTCTGAAATAAATTTTAAATATAAAAACTATATTTAAACTAAATTAATATTTATTCATATTAGAAATAATATAATCAATGATTATTATCTATATGAATACTCATGTTTATTTAGAAATAATGTTTTGTTCAAATTATTAGTCATTTTATTAAAAATACTATTATTTATTTTATATTAATTTGAAACATTATAAATATATAGAGTATGAGCACAGTAAAACAAACAAAATAAGTTTCGGATATTTTAAACAAAATACAAGACTTCTATAGAACTCAAAGTTTAAATAAGACAGCAACTAAGAAATTTAATATAAGCAGACAAACTATAAGCAATAAAAATTTATATCTATAATAATTCGAGAAGAAATTGGAAGAAGTTACTGCATTCAATCCCAGAAAATCTATGGTATTATCCAAGTTCAAAGAATATGAATAATCAAAATAAGAGTAAAATCATAATAAAGATATTGCAACGATCTTAAAAGAAAAATAAAAAATTCCAAAAACTAGAATTTGTCGTCAATTTATTAAAACTAAATAATGTAGAATGGGAGCAAATTGTAAATATGCTCACTCCATCAAAGAACTTGATGTAGAATATGCTCCAGTCGCTTGGACTATTTAATTTAATCCTGATCTTTAATTAAAAAGACCAAAAACAATGGGTGAATAAAGATCATACAGAGTATTATAACCTTTCTAGAAATCAATGTAATGATATATAAGTTTAATTTTTTTAATGAAATATTCAAACTCTCATTATTTTGCATAACTGATCAATCAAAAAATTATTATTGAAATAATTATTTTAGTAAAAATTATATTGATATCTTTTATTATTTACAAAATTAACTTAAATTTGGATTATTTACATGTGTATATATATTATAATTTATCTAATTCTTATTCTTTTAATAATGTTATTAATTGTATTAGTTATTATAATTTAAGAAATCAATTTTATAAACAACCTATAATTTTTATATACATAGATTAAGTAAGATTATTATATTTCAAGAATATTATTATTTTTTTTTGTTGAATTTGCAACACTACTTAAATTAATAATTATTAATATATATTTAATATGCTCTAATTTATCTATATTAAATATTTTTTAAACAAAGCTACTCAAATACCATCAAATGTTAATGGAGTTGTTCTACCAATTTTCTTACCCCAATTTTGTCTATAAATTTTCATACCACAAGCTTCACTTACTTCTTCAGCTGAAGTATTACTTAAAAAATTATAAATTCAATATAATTTACTTAGTTACTGCTTACATAAATGCATAAAGTAAAGAGTAAGGGACTTAATTTCTAGATCTAACTTTGAAACTGCAATGATGAATTCCAGTCAACATTAACATTGATGCTATTTAAGGATTACCATATGCATTGAATCCTAATGGTCTTGGATTTATTTCTATTTCTGCATCATTGAATCTTCCTGTAAGTGGAATTGGACAAGTATGCCATAAATCTAAACTTATAGGTACTAGATTTCTTTTAGCATCTATTTTGGCTCTTATTAAGGCAGTTTAAAAATCTTTACCTTTTCCTTTTCTATATTTATTATTGAATATTATTATACCCATATCCTATAACACCATTTCCATTTCCAATAAATATTAATTGTCTAAATGAATTGATTCTTTATAAAGTAGTTACTTAAGTATTAGTGTCTCTATCAATAAGGACGGTAAAGAATTAATCACTAATTTTGAAACCTGTGCGATTAACTTTTTTAGGATATGAGAATTATCCTTTGTTTTCAACGAATTCATCAGTATCAGGATCAAAATCATCATTTAGATTATCTTTATCTGTAATAATATTATCTTTTAATTATTTTTTTCTTTTGTCAAGAAATGCTTATAATTATCTAAATTCCTCTTCTCTAAGTTAATTAGTTTTATTTAAAGGAGATGCTGCATAATGAGTCAAATCTAAAATATTTTTATGTTTCTTTTTATATTCTGTTAAAAATTCATCAAAACCATCATCATATTTGGATGTTCTATGAATAGTATTATAGAGCTTATCTAATTTAAATAAATGAGATAGATACTCTCTTAAATTTAAGTAGTTAAGAAATCTTATAGATTATGAACATCTTCTACAGATTATTTTTATTTAATCCTTGAAGATAGTTTATTGATCTTGTTTGCAGCCAATTTATTTGAAATGGCATATGCCATCTTGATTGTGTTTAAATGCATCCTGACAATCATTGATATAAATTTTAATATAAATTTTAATATAAAATCTATATATTATTTATATAAACATTTTCCTTTCTGTTTACTAAATAAACTCATCTTGTTCATGTCAGATGTAAATAAAATAAGAACTTATAAATAAAGAACTTCTGTTCAATCAAAAAGTTAAAAGTTAAATTCAGAAAGGTTAAATAATATAAATAAATTATATTAGACGATCTCTTAATACAGATTTGAATAATTATGTTCCAAAATAACCTACATGGACATAAAAGTGTTTAAAAAATACTAAAAGAAGTTCATTCAATGATTCAATAGAATAAGACAAAAGAGGATCTATGAGTACTGTAGCCACATTAACAACAATGAGCACAGATTTTTAAGTATAAGATGATGATCCAATTGAAGAAATGACTTCTTCTAGTGATGAATCTTAAAGTAATATAAAATTCAAGACAGAAATGTGTAAAAATTGGAGTCTTCTTGGTAAATGCAATTATAGTAATAAATGTTAATTTGCACATGGTGAAAATGAGAAAATAAGTAGACAATCTAATATAAAATATAAATCTAAATTATGTAGATCATTTCATTAAGAATATGTTATATCTATTAATATAATTAGGTTTGTTTTTATGGAGCTAGATGTTAATTTATTCATGAAAGTAGAAGTGTAGAACAAATTAAGAAAGATTACAAATCTTAAACAGTTTTTTATTAACCAAGTTCGTATTAATTAAGATTGAAATCTCTATAATCAATTACAAGTGATTGGAAATAATAAATTCCATTTTAAGAATGCTTAAAATAATGGATGACAAAATTATTAATTTAAATCAATCTTTCTTCAAGTAGTGAATGAAGATAATTATAGATTTATGATTATTTATTTATTATTATAAATTAAATTAAATTCATTTTAAGATTAATATATAAACTTATTATTCAAAAACAATCTATTAAAATCTTATATATTATTATAAAATATTATTTTTGAAAATGTATTTCAAATTAAAGTACAAACTAATTTATTAAGATTATTAATAATTTATTCATTTACTTTCTAAAGTATTTATCTACATTATATAATTAAACAATTTATAATACTAATCCTTATTTAAATAGATGAATAGATTTATTATTTTTATAAATTTATACATATAATAATAAATCTATATTATTTAGATAACTCTTATTTCATAAAATTAAATAAAAATCTATTAATCAAAATTATTATTGTTATAAATACTATCTTTTTATTTATTTGATTAAATTTTCATCTGGAATTTTTATGAATTTATAATAAGTGTTTATTAAATTGTATAAATTAATAATTTAATTAAAATATTTTTAGACTGAATCTTTTTTTTTAAAAAGATAAACTTTATTTATATTTTGAGAGTTTAAATAATAATGGAATAAATCTATTTATTCATGATAAAACAATTATATTTGAAAAGGTAAAATGAGATCTTAAATATATATATATATATTTTTATAAATCATACATTCGAATTAAATCATCCAATGGATTTGTTACTTAAGGTTTACAATTTTCTTAATTATGTACTACTTCTTAGCAATTAACAAAAATCTAGATCAGCTACCTACTCTAAAGGATGTCCTTCATCAGGAACTAACTTTAATATTTTAATAGATTACCTACATCAAAATCATCAACCTAATTAAGAGCTAATTTAGACTATCTTCTATTATTAGATAGTTATGATTAAATTTTTAGATCTAATTCACTTTAAGATCTTAATTCTATGATTGTTCTTAATGAAGGCAATTCTACTTTTTTCTTTTTAACAACATTTAATTATTTAATTTTACTCTTTATATTCACAAACCAATGATGTTTCATACTATCTGATATTGTAATTCTATGCTCTATTATTTAAGAAATAAATACTAGGATTAGTTTCTAATAATTTAGATAATAAATCTAATTCACTTAAACTAATATTTTTTTCTATTGATTTATCAAGTGGAGAAGTTGCATCATTAGGGATTAATTAAAATTTCTTTTATAATAATTTCTAAATTTTAGTAGTATCAATTTCATATTTATCAAAATGTTTTTCACTTGGTAATTATGATGGAAATGTCATAAAATAAAGTAATACACCTAGACTATATAAATCAGAAGTAATATTTGGTGGTACTCCATTATAAAATTCAGGTGCAATAAATCCTTCAATTTATCTATTTAATATCCAGTCTAATTTATCATTTATTCTATATTGCTATATTTATGTAATAAAAAGATTTAATACCTTAAAAGATAAATTAATCATAAAGATCTAAAGGAGTTAATTATTAGAGTTAATAATTATATTTAAAGGATTAAGATTTCCATGATAAAATTAATGTTTATCTAAAAATTTAAGTAATTATAATATTTAATAAACAATCTAATTAAATAGAGATAGTAATTACTGAAGCTATTTGAACTTCGTGTAAAGGATTTGTTAATATTAAATTATAAAGTGACTCTCCTTTGAAATGTTCATATAGAATAAATAAATATGAGTCATCTTCATAGACTCTTCTTAATTATAATAAATTTTAATGCTTAATAGAACGCAGCATTTAAATTTCATTATGAACTACTTCTTCTATTTCAGGCCATTATTCAAAATCTTCCATTTTGTAAATTTGAACTGTGTATTAAGCATTATTCTATATTATTATTATTATTAATAATATTACAGATTTTTTATAGCATTAATATATTCCAGGTAACATTCTATCTGTTAATTTGTATTTTCCAAAAAAATCATTTAATTTACAATATTATTTCATTAATTTATACCAATTTCTATACTGAATAAATTATGAAAAGAATAAATAAGTGTTTCCTAAATTATTAGAAATTATTAATCCATAAGTTTTTGCTTCTTTATATTAGATTAACTCTTTTTAAATACTACAATTACTCAATATTAAATGAGTATGAATCTTATCATGTTAACATATAAGAATATTAGGATATATATGAAATAGTTTCTCAGAGAATTCTTATTTTTATTAATTGTAACTAAAAACATTACCTGATTAAAGTTAAGGATAGAGTAAAATCTTTTTCATGTATTCTTCTCCAATTTCTTTAAGATTTGATTTTTCCAAATCTTTTGGAGAAAATTTACCCACTAAATTTAATAACCAACCAACTGAATTCTATTATTAGTGATCAGAGGAATTCATTCAATTAATGTATTAATATAAATTTAAATTATTTATCATATATTTCACATACAAAATTAAATGAAGCAAGAAAAAACTAAAATTAAGTAAAAAGATTAAAGAGATGAAATCTTACCTATAAATTAGATAATCTAAAAATGTGAATAGACATTAGGTAATTATTATACCTATAAAAAGAGATCACTTAGTTTGAACAACAAGAATTAAAAAAAATGTTTTCTATTGTTTCTGACAAAATGCATTAAGTTAATTCTAAAATTTAAACTTTTGAAAGAGAAGAAAGACTTTTGAGAAGAGAAAATGATGAATGGGAATTCTATTTGAAAGAGAAAACAGCACTTATAAAATAGCTAACATTATTAATTGATTTAATTAGTGGCAAAGATCATTCATTTGAAATTGATATATCTACCAATCCTGTTTATAAAGAAATTCAAACTTTTTCTTTACATAAAAAATAATTAGGAGAAGATCTATTAAAAACTATATAGAATGATGAAACATCAATTATTAAGCTTTAAGCTTAATTATAAGAAATAGAAGAAGAAACAAAGCTTTTAAGATAATCAGGGGCTTTTTGGAATTGTGTTCGTTGTAATATCACATTAAAAGAGGGCTTTAATGAAGAAGTATTTTAAAATTATATATAAGACATGCATATTTCATCCTGGTAAACTCAAGTATTTTTCTTGCAGAACTTGTGGAGGTGATGAATACTTTACATGTTGTAATTAGTGTAGAGATTGCAATCCTGGTTGTAAAAAAGGCTTGCATAAACCTTGAAACATTATATATATCTTATTAAGATTTTTAATGCTTAATTTAATAATTAATTTAATTTTCATTTATCAAGATTCATTTTATGTCCTTTGATCATTTATTATAGATCATTTATAACTTTTAATTTCTTATCTTTTTATTACCGTTAACATTCTTCTTAATTTTTTACTTTTTCTAATTATTCTTTTTAACATTTTACTTTCTCTAATTCACTTGTAAATGTTTATTTCATAATATTTTCTTTCTAAATATTAGATTACAATTACTTCATGATATTAATTTAACAATTTTTTGTTTTCATATCTATTATTTAAATATTTATTTTTATAATTATCTTTAATCCTATCAATCTATTCTAATTCTTTAATTAATTATTAATTTTGTATTTTTAATTATCTATTATTTTCTTATAATTATGCATTTTCATTTTCTAATGTTTTAATCTAATTCTAAAATTCATTTATTTTTGTTTAATTTTATTCTAATTTTAATTATTATTTTTCAATTTATAATTTTTAATCATTTATTTAATTTTTATTTTCTTATTCCTTATTGGTCAATATTCTAAATTCATTTTCTAATTCATTTATTCTTTATTATGCTGAAAATAATAAATTCTCTTAATTTTTATATTGTTATTCAGTTAATTAGAATTCTTTTGAACGATGATTTTCAGTTTCTTCAAATTGTTTTTATGCTCTTTGAAGTGTAAATTCATTTTCTTATTATAATTAAGAGAATTTTAATTTGATTTATTCATTCTATTGTCTTTCTAATTATAATTCTAATTCAATTTATTTCAGATTTCTTTTTAATTAATCATTTTCACCTTAAATATTTTATAACTATTCTTAAGTTTTTGCTAATAATTATCGTTCCATTTATAATTCCTTATTAATAACTAATATATATATATATTAATATACATGATTCAGAATTGTTTGGTTTATTAATTGTAATTATTGGTTCAAAATATGGTTAAGATTATTATTATTATTGATTTTCAATTTTAGATTCTAAATCTAATATTTTTTTCTTTAAAATCAATTCTTTTGATCTTTATTCATTTATTTCTTTTTCTCTATTTTCTACTTTCAAATTAGCTATTCTTAAATCTTCTTCTTATCTAATTATTTTTTCACGAATTGAAAATGATTATTCTTATTCTGAAATCATTTGATATTTCATTTATGTTATTTATTATTCTAATTTTTAAATTTTAGTATTAGCAGTTTATAAATGAGATTTTAATGAAGATAATTCATATTATTTTTATTCTACATTTCCATCAAGTTCATTCTTTTTTTAATTTATTTATTATGATAATTCTCTATTAGATATCTATTCTTTATCTAATTGTAATTTCAATTTCATATTTTCTTCTTTTATTCTATCAGCTTAATCTCTAACTGATTCTAATTCTCTTTATAATCTTTAAGACATCTCTTATTCAGGAATTTCATACTATCTTTTTTAATATATTTCATTTTCAATTTATTACATTTTTTAACTTATAATTTTATAATCTTCCTTTAACATTTCATTTTCAATTAAAATTTTATCATTTTCTTATTTTAATCTTTCATAATCATTTAATGGAACAGTATTCATTTCATGCTATTAATATGATTTTCCCAATTAATCTAATTTTGTACTATATTCTGATTACATAATTTTCATTTCTTTACATTGAGATTTTAATTCTTTTTTTACTTATTTATTTTCAAGTTATTTTTCTTAAATAATTTATTATAATTCGTTAATTTCTTCAGTTAAATGCAAATTTTATTCATAATATTCTGTGAGTAATTTTTTGACTTCTTTACTTCTATAATATAATATTCTATATTCTCTTAATAATTTTTCTTTAGTAACAGATTCTAATTTAGTTGTTAACATAAGATTCTCTTCTCTACTTAATTATCCTGCATCAAGTTCTTTTATTTTTTTTTCATTATCCATAAATACTTCATATTTAGATTATGGATTAATTGGATTCATTTTTAATTTCATAATTTCTTTTGTATCACTAGAATCTGTTAATGAACTTGATTCTTCACAAGGAGTTTCAACTCTACGATTTCTTTACTATTTTTTTGAAGATCCAATTGAACGAGAGGGACTTCAATTAATTTAATTATATTACCTAGAACTTCTATCAATAGTATTCTTTGCAATTCTTGATTCTAAAATTCTAACATTAGGTCTTGAACTATCTCTTTATTATTACATTTCTTTTGAGAAACTACCTAATTTATTATCATAGGTCTTCTTTTTAAATTTTGGAGTATTTTAAGTTTTTGATGACTTTTATTATTTTTTAACTTTTTTTGAAGATTTACTTCTGCTTTATTCAAGACTCTTTAATTATGTTCTTGATTGACTATGTGAACTCTATCCCTTTTTACTTTAACTTTTCTTTGACTTAGTTGATTTTCTACTTTTATTATCTGATACTGGTGTTTTTAGACGATCATCAGCAGTAAGAGTTCTAAGTTTCTTTTTCATTTTTGCTAATTTCTTTCCTATTTCAGTTAATTATGTAAGTGTCTAATTTTTACCAGTAAACTCATTTTGTTTAACTTCTTCAAATAAATTCTTTTATTCTCCCTCTCTATCCTTAATCCATCTTTTTGATATATTCAATGGTGGATTACTTACATTTTGTAAAAGACTATTAATTTATTATTAAAAACGATTCTCACTTTTTCTTTGATGTTTAGAGCTCTAACTAGTTCTTGTTTAAGACATTAATTTTAATTATATTGTTAAAATTTGAATTTTTTTTTCATATTACTAATATAAATTAAAATATTTGTTTTAAAGATGGTTTAATTATTTTTTAACTTAATCATTTATAGAGTTATGACTATTTATATAAATTCATTATAGAGTGACATGTTTTATCTATAAATTGAATAATTTTATTTAAATCATAAAATAAATGAAGAGATCTATATTTATTATGATTTTATTTAATCTTTTAATATTTAATTAAACTAAATTTGAATTAATTAACTGATAAATGAGTACGAAGAGAAAAGACATCATAAAACTTATGAAATCAATGAATATTGATCCATCTACATTTTCTGAAGAAGATATAAGACAATTTGAATAAGGCTAAGTGATGATGAGTGATAGTGAATCAGATAGCATGAGAGATTCAGTATCCATAGCTGATATTGAGAATTATTAATAGAGTAAACATAACAGAGGAGGAAACACTCATGATACAGTCAACATGAAAAATGTATTTAAATTAATTCCATTTTAGAATTATTCATCTGTTGTGGGTATGCAAGAAAAATAAATAGCATTTCTAAATGCTGAAATCAAACGTATTTAAGCAGCTAATGATGCTGATAGATAAAGAGTTTTTGCTAATCATCGTATAGAAACTGATAAACTTTTAAGTGAAATCAAATAATTAAAGTCTAAGATGATATATCAAGAGTCTCAATTACCAGGAATAAGAGAAGCTTTAGCTTAAGTTAGAGATATGCTTGCTGGATTAGTTCCAGAAGCTGTTTATTTGAGATTGCGAGATATGAATGAAAAGGAAATGCCTATTTAAGATTGGGTATTGGTTTAAGTGTGGGAGATAGTATATCCATTTAAAAAAGAAGGAGAATTTTAGAAAAAAGAAATATTGGCTTTGAGAGAAGAATTAAGATAGGTAACAGAAAAACATTAATTCTTATTAAATGATTTGGAACATGGATAAAAAATGATGGTAGATAGAGAAGAAGATATTAGAAGACATAAATTAAATTATGATAATGCAAGAAAGGCTTTGGAATTAGAATTAACAAAATCTTAAGAAGAATTAGCTCTTTTAAGAGAAAAAGGAGCAAGATTTGATGAATTGAGTAGGGATTATAAAAGATTAGAATAAGAGAAGTTTTTATTGGAAGAAAAAGCTGGATTTTATCAAAATAATCAAGCTGGTGATAAGGCAGGAGATCAATACAAAGCTTAAGATGATTCTAAGAGAAAGGGTGATCTTTTATAATAAGATAAGGAATATTTAACTAAGGAGAATATATAGTTATTGGAGAAGGTTAAGAGATTAGAAGATAAATTAGATAGAACAGAGAAGGAATATTTGGAAGCTAAAAATTAAGCTTAAGAATATCTATTTTAATTACTCAATTCTAAAACTGATTAGACTTAAGCTTATGAAAAAAGAATATATTCTGAAATTGCTGATCTTAAAGAAAAACATCATCATGAATTGGAGATAGCCAAATAGAATTTAGTTGATATTTATGAGACTTAGATCAAATTCTTAAAAGATGCAAAGGAGGAAATTTAACTTAGAAAAGATAATCTAGAAGGTTAAGTAAAGGAAAAATCAACATTATATGATCATTTGTTAATTGATTATAGAAACTTATAAAGAAAATTAGATGGAGATTTATCTGAATAGAGAATTTAATTGAGATTGAAGATAGAAGAATTAGATAGAGTATAAAATATCTATGAAGATACTTTGGCTAATCTTAAAGCTACAAAACATGAGAATGAAATGTTAAGGGAAAAAATTAATGTTTTAAAGGCAGAATATTATAAATGTTAAGTAGAGGCTAAAGAATAGATGAGTAATATAAATGCTCAATTACAAGTTGCAAAAGAACAACTTACAAATTATGAAGGAATTGAAAAAGAAATTGATGATGCTATAATGAAATCAGCAGGTAATGAATATGATGCAATGAATCCATTATTGGGATTTATGGGTACTGTACCTACATCTTCAAAAAGAAGGATTTAATAGGCATTAAATCTTGCTTAGAGATTGTAAGCAAAATAAAGAGAATCAGAGGAATTGCAAAAATAATTAAGAGAGAAACAATCAGAAATTGAGAGACTACAAGAAGAGACTAAATTATAAAGAGATGTACTTGATAAAACACATTAACCGTAAATATTAATTATAAATATTTTTAGTCATTCTTATTTGGTAGCTCATATAGAGGAAAAGGATAGAGAAATTTTAAAATATAAATCTCTTTTAAAAAAAATAGATTAAGATTATTAGATATTAAAAGCAGAAAATGATGATATAGCTAATGTAATAATCTTGTTATTAATTTAATAGAGATTCATGCGAGCTGAAGAAGATTTATAAAGATTAAGAATAAAAAGACAGAATTTATAAAATATATAGAACATTTTAATTGGTATTGCAACTGGTAGTTAGAATGATATGAGATAAAATCTGAGAAGTGCTATAAATGAAATGTCTGAAGCATTAAATACAAAAACATATATAGATCCTCAGAGTGCAATATAAAAAAAAGGTATGAATTTAATATCTATTAAAAAAGGTGGTATTCAAAATAGTTAATAAAAAGAATAAGAAGGACCTTCTTGGTATTCAAAACTAAAATAAAAATAGAATAAATGACATAAATATTTAATACTTTATAATTTAGAAGATAATATTTATTTTAATAATTAAATATTTTATAGTAAATTTTTGTAATTATGTATGAGAGATAAAGATGATTGGTTATATCAATAATAATGAGTTAGCATTGATTTCTAATATTAAATGTGTTTTTTTTTGAGGAGATTGTTCTAAGGGATGGAATACCTACTAGAATACACCACAATAAACTTATAAATATTTGTTATGAAATTATAAAGATGATTATATTTAATTTATAAAAGATATATAATGAATTAAGAAGAAGGAGAAGTTAATGAAAATGAATAATATGAGAAAGTAGTGAAGTATATTGTAAAAAATACACCATTTGGATAAGCTAATTTAGTGATTAAGGATTTGTGTAAAATCATTGGAAATATTAATCCATAAAATCCAATTATGCTATAAGCATTGAGGGATCATAATGAAGAAAATTTAGCTTTATTTAAAGGCTAAAACTCTTAAGTAATTGTCTCTGATGACATCATAGATCATTACAAGCATTCTTAATTCTTAAGAAGATTTTTATGTAGATTAGAAAAATAATGAGACAATTTAAGTCGATCATGAAAAATTAGAAATTTTATCAAGATCTTAAGTTGAATTACCATCAGATCCATAATTAAATTAATTAAGAGATGCACTTGAATAGTAACTCAATCTTTATTTGAGTTAATAATTTAATGAGAACGTCTGTGGAGCTTATGGTATAATTAAAATACATGTAATTAGTTATGTATCAAGGTGATGCTTCAGATTTTACATTTTATTTAGGAATTACTTCAAAAACAATCAATTTACCTAACTTTTTGTATATTAATCCATAATATTATAGCTGTGGAAGTTGGATTTCAACCTGGGAATTCACTAAAACACAATTAAAAGGTGATTTGAAAGTTTAAGCACATTATTATGAAGATGGTAATGTTCAATTAAAAAATGTAAATACTTTTTCAGAAGGAATCAATGTAGATTTATAGGCTGCAAGTGAAAGTGCTAAATAGATTGTTCATGCAATCTCTAAATTAGAGAATAAGCATTTAACAGGAATGAATAATTTATATAATTCTATGCCTGAAATTTTCTTTAAAGCTATGAGAAGACCTTTACCAATTACAGGAACAAAGATGAATTGGAATGAAAATGTTCATAAATTAGTAGCAAATTTGAAATAATGAAATTTACAATAAATATTAATGAATAAATTTATGATTCCTTTTTTATCAATATAAAATTTTTAGTTTAAAGATTTTAATTAAAAACTTTATATTTTAATATCAATTTTAAAGAATATTAATAAAAATTAAGAAATCTTTATAAGATAATTAATATGGTTTGACTACTTATTTTAAAAACAAATTTGTTTATATCATTCTTGTTACATTTATTCATTACTAAACCCATTTTTTTAAAGCAAATTCAAAACTTCTTTTTCATTATAGGTTTTACTCTTAACTTCTTTTCCTTATTAACTGATAACAACAATCTCTATTTTAGAAGGCTAAGGAGATGATGTATCCATAGTTTTCACTAATGCTTTAATTGCAATATCTAATCCCTAATAAATTCTAATAATTATATATTACTTATTCTAATGTTAAATTTTCTTTATAATCTTATTTTAAATAGCTATTTGCAGCTAAATTATTTTTTCCAATTGCAGTAGCTTTCCAACCTGCATAATTACCTGATGGATCAGTACTAAATAATTAAAAACCATTTTTATTATCATAACCTGCAAATAAGAAAGCTGTTCCAAAAGGTCTTTATCCACCTACTTAAGTTTTATTTTATTTATAATCGCATATATTTATTATCAATTATTCTAAACCAATATTATCTTAAAACTAATATCTAAAATTTAATTTATATTTTACCTATGATTAGCAGCAGCCTCTCTAGCATAATTAATTAAAATATTTGCATCAGCTGTATGACCTGATACAACTGAGAAGATATGTCTATCAATTGGATATATTTTCTCAGAATTTTTTGAATTTTCTAATAAATGTGATACTTCTTATTTTTCTGTAGCCAATATCATTCCCTCATTAGTTAATACTCCAAGTGCTGAGCCTGTTTAATTAATTGCTTCAATTGCATATTCAACTTATTTTAATCTACCATCTGGAGTAAAAGTATTAGTCTTTTAATCGTATCTCCTAGACATTAAATTTAATTTAAAATAATATATACTGGTGTTCAAAATAAAATTAAGGTAATAATAATCATAAAATCATATGCTCCACAACATGTTATTACATTACAAGCATTTCATATAATCCCAATTCTTACATTATTTATCTTGTATTGTTAATAATGTTCAAAATTTAATTTTCATGATTGGGCTACAAATATTGCAATCCATTGATTATTTTAATTAAAATGCTCTATAATTAATTAATATAATAATTACTCCTAAAGATAAAGATATTAATCCAGCTAAATGATCATAATCTGGATTATGTTATGTTATTGATTATCTTCCTTATTCTATTTTTCTTAATAATTGACTCATATATTCAACAAATTTTAGATGTTGAACACTAACATTTTATTCAATAAAGTATTAAATTATTGAATATGCCTTTAATAATGATTTATGAGAGTTTTTCTTTTCAATTTTACTTGTAACTCTATCGAATTTATTCAAAATAACACGATCTACATTTTATCTTAATGCTTAATATTTCAAATTAAATTTATCAAGCAAATAATTCAAACATCTTGCTGTCTTTATTTGAAGTTCTATTTAAAATTTTAATTTAATTTCTATTATCTTTGCAGTCAAAAATTTAACTAAAATTTTAATGATCTAATGCAACTATTAATTAATTATAATTATTTCATATACTTAAAATTCTAGATTTATCTAATTATTTATTATCAATCTATTTAAACATTCAACTATTACACATCTATGTTTGTAATAAAATAGTTAAACTTAATCCTATTAACTATATAAATATTAGACTATGAATGGAACAATTTAAGCTACATCTTTATAGCTTTCTAAATCAGAAAGTACTTTATAATAATATGAAGATTTACATTAAACAAATTCTTATGAGAAATTAAATTTTAGACTTATTACTTCTTTTTCAAATAATTCCTTAAAATTCTTTACTATTGTTTATTAATGAACTGTCAATATGCTTATTACATTATCTTTTATAATATTAAAAGACTTTTTGTTTTCCATATTTTAGAATGACTCTGTTTATATGATATCCTTGTATTACACTTAAATTAATTGAAGAGCAATTTACTTATAGATTGAGTCTCCTACGAATTAATCATCTAATAATCTTTCATAACATTAAATATGGAAAGAGAGGGAAATCCTAAAGGAATTTTAACTGTCCTCATCTAATGCGAAATTAGATCTCTTAAATCCAAGCTCTTATATAATGAGATTCTATACTTGATCATTAAGTACATATTCATCCATTCTTTTGGATAAATTAATACTATCCATATATTAAAATCCAAAGATTTCAGACTATATTGATATATTTATCAAAATACCTTCTGCATATTTTGATCCTTGATAGCCAATTCAATGTCTTAAGAATTAAGTTATTTTTTTCTGAAATGTCTTTGATATTTTATTGCTTCCTAATCATCATTATTAATATTCACTTGAATGATCTTCCTCACATTTTATTCAACCAATATGAATAAATGTAATTCGGCCCCTTATTCTATTGTTTTACCCTGAAGAAGTCCTTTTAATATGCTTTCATCTCGATACACAGACATTGAAGAAAACACAAATTTTGTCAATTTGATATTTACATTAAAAAAGATATTTAAATAACTTCTACAACCCCACCTGAAAAGATGAGTATAGATCATTTTTTCTCTCTTTTGGGAGTTAAATCTCTTCTTCCGAAGGGTGAAGCAGCTCTTTTCATAGCGATCTCTAGAGTTCTACTTCTTTCCTATTAGGATTGACGAATTAAAATTTCCATTCCATCTAATATGATCTTGCGAGTTGTATTTATCAATATTTACTTACCAAAGAATGCTTTAGACACTAAATATTAATCATATGCCCAACATTCAATAGAAATTGATTGCTTTTCTCAAAGTTAATACTAAATGCACATATTGTATGTTTGAGAATGTTATTACAACTAAAACAGATATGAAAAATGATTAATTTGCACTTAAGATATTTGAAAATAAGCAATGTTCACCTATTTTAAGAATAAAATAAATGTCTATAGGTATTGAAGATGTCTTTATTGATTCAATATATAACTTATTCATATATTATTATTTAAATGTTTTATTGATGCTTAATACATTCTTCTCTTAATCTAATCAATAATTTATAGTTAAAATTCATAGAGACTATTAATTGAGACATTTATAAGTAAATTATTGCACTATTTAATACAAAAATCAATCCTCTTTTTGCAGTAGACAATTTGGACATATATCGAAATCACAGATTTAACATCTATGTGCTTAGTTTTAAATTGTTTCACTACAGTAATCACATACATGATGAGGCACAGTACTCAATTTCATTCTTTATAATAGTAATTAAGAGTTTACGGATGTCCTGCTCCACACATTATTCCAAATAGAGGTGGAGGCATGCATTATAAACAGAATGCTTCTTAACATTATTAGCACCAATAACGAGATCTGCAATTTTTAATCTTACATTCTGCACATGAATGACCACTACTTGATTTCCAGGTTAATTAATGTCCATTCTTATTGCAATAATAGGTCGGTGGTGGAAAGTATTCTGGATTAGTTTATTGTTGAGAATTCATAACTATTTAAATAAATGAATTCGAATGATTAAACATATTTATTTATTATTGTACTATTCATAATAATATCAATCCTTAGGCTTCTTCTTGATTCTTAATTAGTTTGAATGTCCACATTTTCTTTTTCTGCAATTATGAGCCTTTGGTGGTAATCTATTCATATTTATATATAATTAAATACCTGGCATAGCAAACTCTGCATATTTTTTTTTCAACGTTGTATTTTTTGGCAATAGCAGCAATAGTTGGCTCCATACCACCTCCTCTGAGTCTCAATACTAAGTGGAGAGTTGATTCTTTTTAGATGTTATAATCTGAAAGAGTTCTTCCATCTTCCAATTGCTTTCCAGCAAAAATTAATCTTTATTAATCGGGAGGGATTCCTTCCTTATCCTAGATCTTTGCTTTAACAGCATCGATAGTATCAGATGGCTCAACATCAAGTGTGATGGTCTTACCCGTGAGAGTCTTAACAAAAATTTACATATTATTTTAAATTTTTTAAAAATCTTTAATAAAATATTTATATTCTAACAATATATATAATTTATTGATGATTTATAAAGTACTTAATATATATATTTCAAATGAAGAACAAAATACCATTATATTTCTATTATAAATCAAATTTTCATTGTTTTCTTATAATCATTCAAAAATTCACATTGATGAATAAATAGTTTTTCTTTATCCTCTTCTAACATTTTTAATGCTCCTTCTAAACTAAACCAAATACTTTGAATATTAAATCCATCATTTATTATATGAAATTCTTTCTATGTTTTATGACATTTTAGTGGTAGACTTTTAGCAAAATCCTCTATGTTTCTTTGATTTTCTTCATAAAGTTTTTTAGTACTAAAATTTTATAATTTTATTTAAATACTCTTCTTTTATTTATTCTATTTAATCTTCAAATGCTAATTTAAGTACATCATCTGTAATTTCAATATTAATAGGATCAGTAAATACTAATCCCTTTTGAGATTCCAAAAGAAACTAAACTCCATATATAATTGAATAAAATGGATCAAATCTTCCATTGATAAAACAATAGTCTGTTATCAACTTTTTTAACTTTTCTTATATTATAATAAAAGTTTGATTATCAGGAAGTTTAAGTTCAACCTTTTTTTAAGTTCCTATTGTCTCTCCTGAAAGTTAACAATATACTTTTCCATCATAAATTAGGTTTATATTTTATCTATTAAGTTTTTCAACTAATTCTTTTATTTGATTTTAATCTGTTATTGTAGTTGGATTATTAATAAGATTAACTAAGGTATTCAAATAGTTTTCTCCCTGATTACTCATTTAATAGAAATTGATTAATAATTAATATTATATTTTTATTTCAATAATATATTGATTATTAAATTCCCTTTGTGACTTTATTCATCCAATTAAATTTTTTCAGCTCTTTGTTTTTGCCACTTCCATCTTCCTTTCCAGGCCAATAAGCTATTAAATTATATTAGGGAGGAATTTTAGCCTCAGACTTATTTCTAGTAACTGGTTTATTTGGATTACCCTTTACTAATAATTTATCATACCCAATATTTAATTTTGGCTGGCTCTATTTTCTTTTTATCATAAAGTAATTCTAAAGATCTACCAAATGTATTATAATCAACAGGAAATGGTTTATATTTAGTACAATCTGGTTTAGGATATTTTTTAATCATTTCTAACTTAAATTTATCAAAATCTTTATGTTTAGCAATCATAATCTTTGGATTTGTATTATTATGTTTTAATTTAGGTAAAATAGGCTATTATTATTATTAAATATATTTAGTACATGAGGATTATAACTACCTGGACCTGCAGGTAAAACAGCTCCTAAGTGTTAATAATCTTAAACAAAGTCTGGTTTTTCTCCATATTGAATTTTAGATTTGCCATTCCACTTTTTAGCTTGATTCTCAATTGATCTATTTTCATCATACTTTCCAGGACCAGGTTTTGGATAATTTTGTTTACTGTTCTGAAGGAATATATCATCTATAAATGTATTTCTCTTAAGTAATTCACTTTTTGATCTAAAATAAATATATTAATATGCATTTACCTTTTTCTTTCCTTATCTTTTTCATTTACCCATTTGTATTCAACATTATATTAAACAGGGACTTTACGATTTCTAAATGGTTTGGCTATGTCATCTAAGAAATGTCCTCTTTTTGTAATTGTAGGTGGTTTCTTTAAGTTGCCTTTGAGGAACTCTCTTTCTTAGACTTACTTAAGAGGGTCACAATACTTCTTGGGGACTTCATATCCTTCAATACCCCAAGCGCCTGTTTCACCTCTTACAACACTATACATTTATTCAATAGTCATCACTAGATTAAAACATAAGTTACATGAGGGAGCTGATCGACTTGTATGCATTATATTATATTATAATTAATTAATATTTTAACGAATGTCCTAGCAATTTTAAGGGAGGTCCTCTCATGGATAATTGGAAAGGAAATTTGAACCAGCAATAGAGAATCCAAAGCCAGCTTAGCAGCTTAGAAATATTCATGTTACAGGGGTAACTAGAGATGCTTCAAAAACTATTCATTATCCAAAATAACCTAAAGTAATTAACTTGAGTTTCATTTAGTAGATATAAATAATTAAAGTTCCTTAAAGATGTGGAAGTAACCAAACAGTTTGTTCTGTTTAGGGATTTAGTACATTAACATATGATGATATTAGACCAAAAGAAAAAGAGGAGAGTGTAATTAATAAAATTATGAGACTATTTACTCGAGAAGTTGATCCTTGTAAATGCTTACCTTATTAAAATAATACTTGTATTAAAGCTAAAGAATGGTTAGGAAATTATGATGCTGATAAATTAAAAACTAAATACTCTAATTTATTAGAAAGTAAATGTGAACCAAAGATTATTAAATAAATAAATCTTGATGTTGAAAGAACTCATCCTCTTAAAAATTATCCATAAAAATTATAAGATTTATAATAGGTTTTAATTGCATATTCTAAATACAATAAAATTGTTGGTTATATGTAAGGAATGAACTTTGTTGCTGCTGGTTTAATTTATCATTCTGATAATTATGTTGCTTTTGAATTACTTAGAAAACTCATTGATTTACTATAAATGAATGATCTTTATTCCCCTATGTAAGTTAATTTAATAGTAGGTCTCCTGGTTTATCGAAGCATATCTAGTTGATTGATTATCTTATCCTAACCAAAATGCCAGATTTATATTAACATTTTTGTATCAACGGTGTAAAAGTAGACATGTTTTGTGCCTCATGGTTATTTTCATTATTTGGAATGATGATTCCAATCCAGAAATAAGTGAAATTATACGATTGTATCTTCAAGTATGGTTGGACATATATTTATCAATTGATTATTGGATTTCTTCTTTATCATTAAGAAATTTTGATGAGTGAAGATATGACTGGAATTATTTGCATTTTAAGTCAATAAAATTATAGAATAGATGACAATGAATTCGAAGTAGATTGGGATGAATTATTAGATGCTTCTCTTAATGTCAAAATTAGCAAGACCTTTATATAAGAAATGCATATGAAATTTGATACTAAGATTTAAACATTTAAATTATGAGAAATCACTAGATTCTAAACTAATAAAATATTAAGTATATTTATTAAAATAATATACAAATTATATATGAACAGTATTTAAGTAACTGAATTCTCAAATCGTGTTTTTGATCGCTATGACAAAAATCATTCAGGATTTATTGAAAAAGATGAATTAAATACATTATTGAAAAATCTAGCTATGGAATTGAATTCCTAGGTTTGTATTGTAATATAGATTAGCAACCAACATAAAAGGAAATTGATTATATGTTATCTTATTTAGATACAAATAATGACAGTAAAGTAAGCCGAACAGAATTTTAGAGATTAGGAGAATTAATGGTTAAAGTTTTAGGAAACAAATGAATTTTATATAATATAAATGTCAAATTAAATTTATATAATAACTCTGTTAATTGTCCAGCAAATCAAGGTGTAAATTAGAAACAAGTTCAATAATATTTGTTTTTAATAAAATAATTGGGTTTGAATAATAAACAAATTTATTTAATTTTTATGTCTAGTCAAGAATAAGAAATAGACAAAGAATTAGATTAAGAATAAGAAAATGGATGCGATTAAGAAGATTAAGAGGAACAAGATAGAACCTTATCTGGAAAAAAGAAATAACCTAAAAAATATGAGTATTTAATAATAATAAAATATTATAGACGAATTACTGAAGGTCTTAGTAATAGGAAGCCAGGATAAAAATTTACACCAGAAGAGGATAGATTGATTTTAGAATTGGTTCAAAGTATTGGGCCAAAATTCTAAAAAATTCATAAACATTTCCCTGGCAAAACTTTGGCTATGGTTAAGAACCGATATTATAAATATTTAAGATATAGGTGGGAAGTACTTGATTAATAAAATAATATAACTGAATAAAATAAAGAAACTAACAAGCAAAATCACCATTCTAATGAATCTTATGAAATATTATGTGAAAAATAAAAAAAAATCAGTAGCTTATTGCATTAGGAGAGAAATGATCTTGTAAATTCAATAGCACAACGCGCTTCGACTCCTAATGCAAAGATATTTGTGGAATATTTAATAGATTAAATGTTATGATAGATAATTGTGTTGTTGTATAAAATATATTTAAAAAAATAGAAAATGAAAACTCAATATTTACTTAAATATTATTCAAATCTTTTTCTTACATGTTCATAAAATTAAGGCTATTCTTGAATGGCTTTTTCCCATTAAGTTCCTTTAATATTTTAAGCCAACTTACAAAATCTTTCATACATAAATTTCCCTATTTTTTTCATTAAAAAATTCATAACTGTTTAAGGAATAAATTTCATTTTAGGATCTAAATTTGCAACACTTTTCATAACAAATTCTCCTGCATTAATAAGTGTAACTTCAACAGCAAAAAAATTGATTTCTACTTAAACACAATTAACTTAAGTAGTATTAATTTAATGTTATGCTTAATATTCTTTATCATGATGAATTGTTTAACAACAAATTAAAAATGACTTTGATTTTTCTAATTAATCTACTCCATATCCTCTAATATAAGCTTCTCTATTAGATAGAACTGGTAGATCCATCATTATATAACATATTTTATGACCTAAACCTGGTGTTTTAATCTAAAATTTAATAAGTTTTTTACTGATTTACTAATTTTACAAAATGGAACCCAATTATTAAAAAGTTCTGTTTGATAGATTAAAGCACAAGCATTAATAATGGGTACTTTCATTACAGATTCAAATTTCAATGCAACATTTGATGAATTAGGTATAAACTTATAACTCATCTAAAAACTTAATTTAAATCTATAATTACTATTGAGTATTGCAATCATGAATCCAATCTTTATTATCTGATAATTATTATTTTAAAAATGTAGCTTCTTTATGAAAGGTTTGGATTTCATGAAATAAATCTTTATTAATTGGAAAGTTGTCTTTATCTTAATTATGTCTTGTCATATAAAATTACATAATCTCATAAGCCTATTTATTTATTAGAATATTTTACTTTATCCAAAAGCATTAAATTATGGCATTAGGAAATTTATAACATCAATTCAGATGAATTTGATGGTAAATCATGTTAAATTTGATCACTTTATTACATATTAATAAATTAATTATAAATGGAATAACCTGAAAAAATCCAAGAAGATCCTAAGATGCTTTTATTGACAATGGAATTAAATAGAATGGCATATGAGAGATAGATTATTAAATCTAAAGAAGAATTTTAAAAGAATAATAATTCTAATAAAGATAATCAATAAATTAAAGAATATGAGAAATAAATGAAATAACTTAAAGAAGCTCTAAATTAAAAAGATAAAAAATTAGAATTATTAGTTCAAGAACTTAATTAAGAAAAATAAAAAAACCAATAACTCTAAAAATAAATAGATAGTATTTCAAAATAAATTTAATAAACTAAAGAACCTAAAATTCACTCATAAACAGACTAAAAATTTCTTCAATAATAAATATTATAGTAAAAATTACAATAATAGACTCAAAAAGCCTAACCTTAAATTTTGATATAGAAAATTTAATAAAAAGGAAATCCAAACTCTAAATAAAATCCAAATTAGTAACAATAGTAATAGCCTCCCATAATTTAATAATAATATTCATAGTAATTATATCAACATCAATAATAAAAATCTTCATAATCTAAACATACATCAAATCAATAAAATTAAATGTATTAACCTTAACAACCATAATATTCTTAATAACCTATAAAAATATAATATATACAGACAAGAATATGATTATGCAAATTTTAATATATAAATATTAAAATAAAATTTATTATTTCATTAAATGGAAACTCTTGATAATGAAAAATGGGTTGATCTTTAAGCTTAAATAGATCATTAAAATTAGATAATTAAAAGTAATCTTATAAACAAATATTAAAGCCTAATAGGAGGATATCAACTAATATAAATAAATCATATCAAGTTATAAGACATAAATTAGTCAAATTGAGAATAAAATGAATTCTTTTAATTAAGCAGAAGTATTATTAAGAGATGCAAATCATAGAAATGATATCTTAATAGCAGAAATTGAAAGATTAAATGTTATCGTTTTTCAATAAGGAAATGAAGTGGAGGAATGGAAAAACAAAGCTTAACGATTAGATTTAGCCCTATAAGAATACAAATAATTTGAACTAGGCAATAGAGATATGGTTCTTAAAGCAACTAGATTGGCTGAAGAAGTAGAAAGATTGAAAGATTTATTAACAAAAAAATAACTAGATTACTAATAACTTCAAATTGAACTTAATTAAGCTCTATAAGATTTAGAAGATGAAAGAAATAAAGTTAAATAACTTGAAGATAGACTAGCTGAATTGGAATCAGAAACTCCTACAGAAAAAGCTCTTAAGCAAATTCTAATTCAAAAAACAGAAATTATAAGATTACAATAAATGATACAAAGTTTGAATAATAAAATTTAATTCTTACAATAAGAAATAGATGAATTAAATACTAAATACAATAATTAATTAAGAGCTAATGATGATTTGAGAACATCAGCTGAAGCAAATGAGAAAAAAGCAAAGAAGGCTGAACTTGATCTTTAAAAAGCTTTAGAAGAAATAGAAAAATTGAAAAAATAATTATCTGAAGCTAAAGTAGTAGTATAAACAGTACCATAAGGAGTTGATTAATAAAAGGTTGATTAAATGTAAGATTTAATTTATAGTCTATAAAAATAATTAAGAGAAACAGAGGATAATTTATAAGATGCACTCAATAAACTTAGAGATGCTGAAAATAGAATTAAATAATTAGAAAGATAACTTAAAGATATGGAAATATAAAATTAAATGGCATAAGATAGATTAAAAGCTTAATAATTATTATCATAATAAATGAATAATAATAATAATAAATAATAATAAGTTAATCCTACAGATATTATTGCTGATTATGAAAGATAAATTTAAGAATTATTAAAAGAATTAGAAAAACTCAGAAATGCTAAACCTTTTGATGACAGAATGTTAAAAAGACAAATCTAAGATTTATAATCATTAATAGTTCTTATGTGTGCTGAAATTGAAGCTTTAAGAGCTAAAATTAGATGAGTATAATATCAACAAAAATAATAATTAAGAAATTACTTATAATTTATGTTATTTATATATATATAAATATGGTTTTATTAATCTAATATAAAATTATATAATACTTATTTCTAATTATATAAATAATAAAAATTGTTGAAATTAATTTTATATTTTTAATAATATACATATAATATATAATCACTTAAATAAGTAATTTGTAATAATTTTTAATTGATCATAATAAATAAATAAGAACATTATAGGATATTTTGAATTAAATTAAAAAGTATAAATAGATAACTAGCTTGAATATTATTAAAAAGAGATATGATTTAATTCGAACGTTTCTACCTATTATGTTTCAATCTTAAAAATAGAGAATATTCTTTAATATTTATACAAAGTAAATTATTGATTTATGAATATACTTTTTATTTATTTAAAAATTGTACACATAATAATCTATTATTTTATTTTATTTTATTCATGTAGTAATAAACAAAAAATAAAATATAATTTTGTTTAGATCAATAAATATGATAAAATAACTTCCATATAGTTAAAGAGAAAGGATGAGTCTTATTGATTTGCTTTTTGATGAATGCTATCAAAAATAAAAGACTTTACCTTAAAACATCCCTTAAATCAGTACAAAACCAAATGCTAAGAAATCAGCACCAATTATTAAATCTTTTGAAAGTAAGAATTTACCAAAGGAATAATTCATAAAATAGAAAGACAAACTATCGAATATTTACTCAATTAATGAATCAATAATCTCAAATCCTCAAAAATAATAATGGGAATATTAATAAGTTTAGAATTCTCAATAAAAATTACTGGAATTGTTAAAACCTATTAAATTTAAGAAATAAAAGAAAAAAGACAATTTTAGATTGCATAATAGTGAAAGTTGTTTAAATAATTAATAGAAACTACCTAATTTGTCTTCAAGTATAAATTAAAATATTAAAAATTGTAATTCATATAGAATTTAAGTAAGATAATCATTGTAAGATATAATTAAATGTAAAATATGTTTCACATATATTGAATTTGATAATTTTAAATTAAATTGTAAACATAGCTTTCATAAAGACTGTTTGAGAGATTAACTTTAATAATAAATAAATTAAGGATAATATCATTTAAATTGCATTAGTTGTAATGAAAGAATAAAAAGCAACTAATTGAAATATGTATTAAATAAGAGTATTATTGAATTATACTACTTAAATTAAATTAAATTTATTGTTTCAAGATATCATAATATAGTACAATTTGAGAAATGTAAAAAATGTTTCTTTTTTTGGATTAAAATACCATTAACAAATAATAACGAATCCTATTGTTAGATTTGTGACTCAAATAAATGATTCAAATTATAAAAATACTATTTAGAATATGAAATAAGAATTCATAAAAAATTATATTCTGATAAATTAATCTTTATATTTCAAAAAATTCTAATATTTTCTATATAGAACAATCAAATATTACATTACTTACTGGTAACCAATATACAATTATATTTTCCCCTAAACTTTATTTTATATTTATACTGTATTAATTATAGTGATTTTTCTAAAAAGTTTATAATTACATTTCATATTTATAAATACAATAAATGATAAACATTAACTAACTTATCATTTGACTTTGATTCAAAAATTAGAAGATGAACAAAGAAAAACATGATATAAAATACCAAGTGTACTCTTAATCTGCTAAGAGTGATCTTCTGTTGATTCACTTTAATAAAATTAAATCTACAATACAAAATGAAATTTATGAATTAGTAATACCTAAAATCTACATTTATTTTGATTAATATCTCTTTTTCTTACTTTGAGGTTCATTATAAGAAGTAATAGATATTTTTTATTTATAAATCCAATCCTAAATCTAATGGCATTTAGCACATCTACATCATGTATTTAAATAGAATACTTCAAACTAAATTGCTACCATTATTTTGATTTATTATGCAAAGAGTCAACAAAAG